CTCCATGAGATAATTATCTTTATTTTTTGCGTGTACTAAGGTCATGCTAGGTAGGTCCGGGCTAGCCCATCTTTGCGACAATGCCCATCGTGCTGCCCGGTATAGCATATTAAGCAGTTTCTGCTCATGTTGGTTAAGTCCCTCCGTGGCTCTGGACAACAGACAACCCCATGGGTATAGTGTTAACCTTCTCTGCAATACCTGGGAGCTAAGGGTTACCGCCTTTCCCCGAAAACTTTTACTTTCGGGCATTGCCACCACATGTGTATGTAGCTACCTTTGTTGCCACATAGGTGCCAACAGGTGTCTCTGGGGCTTAATTTCATGTGGTATTGTTTTACGGTTGTCATCTACCATCTAAAGAGCGTCTTGTAGCTTTGTTCTTGGATTGTGAAACACATGTACACTTTAGTGCATGCCTCCCAGATTTCCTGCCAGTCTATTCCCTCAAGAGCCTCTCCCAGGTCGGCTTCCCATAGTGCTGAGGGTTCAGCACTAACCTGACTCCGAGCTAATGTGTTGGTATAAGAGCGTGATAAGTTTGGTCTGGGTTGTTTCCTCGTAGTTAAGGCTGGTTTCGGTGCTTCTCGGATCTCTGGTGTGTGGGCGAAGTCCCAGATTTGCAGGTAACGGAAGTAGTCCCTAGTTTGGAGTGGAGCTTTACTTTTTAAGTGGTCATAGGTGACTACGTCATTATTTATGTACAGATGAATGTATCTTTGTAGCCCTGTGGCTTCTAAGCCTCTGAAGTCCCTACCTCTGAGTACTGAAGGGAAAGCGTGGTTCCTAAGAACTAGGGTTAGTGGTGATGGATCATTCCCTAGTGCGTATTTACTCTTAACTTGATCCCAGATTTGTAGGGAGTTCAGGATGGCTGGGCAGGTAGTCTTTAAGACCCATAGATAAAATTGAGGTAGGTCTGCTCCCGTTTGTAGGGACTTTATGTTCACCCATCGCCTGCAGTCTGGGTGAGTGCCAATGAATGATCTGGGCCAGTTGATCTGCTAGGAAATAGTGGTATATGTGGGGAAGGCTCAGGCCCCCTCTGTCCTTGGGTCAGTATAATAGGTTTCGGGCCAGTCTAGGACTTTTTTTCTGCCATATAATGAGTTTCTTGCCTTTAGCATGGATGTCAGGTCTCCTTTTGTGAGCCTGATGGGTAAAGACTGGAACAGAAAGAGAAGTCTCGGTAAGATATTCATTTTTACCATGAGTAGTCATCCCAGCCAAGATATAGTTCTGTCGGTCCATGTCTCTAGGTTGTTTATCAGGGTTTGAAAGAGTGGTGTGTAGTTTCATAGGCAGAGGGAGGCAGGGTCAGTCGTCAGTGTGATGCCTAGGTATCTAAGCTCCCTTGGTTCTATTCTGAAGTTGTAGGTTTGCCTGATGGTCGACATCTCTGTGACTGTTATGTGGAAGGGCAATGCTACTGTTTCAGAAGGGTTTATTTTGTAGCCTGAGACATCCCCTTATTGTGTTATGAGGGTCAGGAGGTTAGGCAAGCTCTGAATCAGGTCTGTAATGGTCAGCAGTACATCGTCCGCAAACGCTGAGACTTTAAAGGATTGGCTTGCTATTTCTACCCCTCGAATCGAGTTCTGTCTTATCGCAAGTAGCAGTGGTTTGAGGGTGAGCGAAAAAAGCAGCGGTGAGAATGGACATCCCTGTTGCGTTCCATTGCGCAGGTCGTTGGTGCTCCCGAGATGAAAGTTTGGGCATGGATGTCCATTTATAATGCTCTAACAGTGGTGCAAAAGGGGGAAGCCTAGCCTGCACAATATTTCAAAGAGAAAAGGCCATTTGACTCTGTCGAAAGCCTTCTCGACGTCTAGTAATAGAGCCAGAGAGGGCTTTCCGGCTTCCTTCATGTATCAGAGTAGGTCTGTGCTTTTTCGAGTGTTTTTGAAGAGCTGTCTCCCTGGCATGAACTCCACCTGGTCTGGGTGTATCAGTCGTGTTAGTAGTGGTGTGAGTCTAGAGGTGAGAATAGTGGCAAATTCTTTTAAGTCGAAGTTGATTAGCGATATGGGCCTGTAGCTAGATGTTTATGTGGGGTCTTTGTCCGGTTTTGGCAGCAGGACTATGTTAGCTGTGGCCATGCGTGTGTCAGGTGTGCCTCCCTCTCAAAAGGGGTTGCATAGGTTCACTAGGTGAGGGATTATTTCATGCTTAAAGGTTTTAAAGTAGCTCATATCATACCCGTCGGGCCTGGTGCCTTGTTGCCCTTTAGGTGTGATATGGCTGCCTGTACTTCCTCAGCTGTAATCAGTGCTGTTAGGCACTCTATGTCCTCGTTTTTGACCCTTAGCAGTGGAAGGCCATCGAGAAAGGAAGTTATATGAGCCATGTAGTCTAGATTGTCAGGAGTGTGTTATGGGGAGTGGTTATACAGTGCTGTAAAGTAAGCTGTGAATTCTGTGTTTAACAAAATACTTTTGAAAGTAATAAAAGACTACTTATTATAATCATTAATAGCAAAACTATTCATATCTAGTGGATTTCCTTGTTTGTCTTTAGAGTTCAGTTGATATATTATGTATGTAGCGGATGGCACTGGGCTGTCCTGAAAATTGCATGTGTATAACTGTATTCGGGTAAACTGCTGGTTTTTATTTGTTTAAATAAAGTGTATTTGTCTGATTGTTCAGTAGAATCATTCGAATAAACTAAGGGAATGAAACTACCGAACAATCAGACCTCCCCTGTGTGAAATGTGCCTTCAATTACCCGTTGCAACAATGTTGCGAATGGGTAATTAACAAGCTATGCAGTAGGTCCTTTGTTCTCGGGGTGGCCACCATTCGGGAAACGAACACGTGGTGGCGGTCATTTTAAAACTCCCGAACAGCGGTGTTTTGCCGTCGAGTGTCTGGAACCCAAATCGGACACTTGACTAGGCGAACACCGCTGAGACCTCCACATGCCCAGTCCGTTCGGTTCCAAACTACCGAACGGCCCCTCGTTCGGTAGACAGAAACAACCGAACGAGGGGATTCATGCGAACCCTACCTGATCTCTGTAGCCTTAGCCTTTCGTGTAATTTATTCCCTTATACTGTGACCGACCGCAGGGCCCCATCGCATGGAACCCTATTTGGCTGTTCTCTCCAGCGCGGTCAGTCTTTTTAGTACCTCCATAAATTTCCCGAACCCCTGGTCCGATCTGGGTGATTTTTGGATATGTTGCTCACCCAGATCAGGGCTACCAGGGGATGTGCCATTTAAAGGGGTACACCTAGGTTTAGGGGTACATCCAGAAACTGGGGGAATTTGTGTACAGTATAAGGGGATTATGAGTCAGGCTGAGGGGAGGAGATGTGTGGGAGGTTACTATTGCCGGATTGGATACTATTGCCGGATTGGATACTAATGAAAATCCCTCCCTTGCATGGGAGCATGCTTTATAAGGCCACTGTGAAATAAAGGTTTTCAGTTCTGCTCCTGATGCTGTGTGTCATCCAGTTATTGGGATTGCTGTTGGGATACTGCTGGATTATTTTACCTGCTGGAAACCTTGCTTTATGGATTTATAATTACTTGTTCCTGAGCGTTACTGGGATCTTAAGCGGAGATAACCTGTGGAATACTGGATCTCCGCTACAATGTAATTACAGTACACAGAATATTCACAGAGTAATTGTTTCCATTTAGAGATAGAGGATGGTAGATAACAATGATTCAGTAAGTTTTGGGGGTAGATGATGGATAAAGAAAAGAGATGAACCACACAGTTGGAGTAAGGGGAGATACAGATCAGGTGAAAGCAGGTAACTCTCTGGGCATTCAAAGAGTAGCTTTATAGCTTGGTGCTACTTCTAAGTGCTGTTTCTAAGTGTGTAGTTGGAGATATTCTGGAGAGTCTTACAGAGGCTTCAACTGTCTAAGAGTTGTGCTAAGAGCTTTCTTTTCTACTGTTACAGGTAAGATTCATCTGTAGGAAAAGGTTACTGATTGCACAAGGTTTGAATTCCTGTTGGTAATTATAAGGCATTTGATTTGATTAAGCTAGTTACATGCTGTTGATTGCTGATTAATTAGCTATTGTTTGCAAATAAGCAGAGGCCTACCCAGGTGTTAAAGGACCACTCTAGGCACCCAGACCACTTCAGCTTAATGAAGTGGTCTGGGTGCCAGGTACCTCTAGGATTAACCTTTTTTTTTATAAACATAGCAGTTTCAGAGAAACTGCTATGTTTATATGGAGGTTATATGTTTATATGGAGGTTAATCCAGCCTCCAGAGCCTCTAGTGGCTGTCTCATTGACAGTCGCTAGAGGCGCTTGCGTGCTTCTCACTGTGAAAATCACAGTGAGAAGACGCCAGCGTCCATAGGAAAGCATTGTAAATGCTTTCCTATGCGACCGGCTGAATGCGCGCGCAGCTCCTGCCGCGTATGCGCATTCAGCCGATGATGTCGCGAGCAAGGAGGAGAGGAGGAGTACAGCTCCCCGCCCGGCGCTGGAGAAAGGTAAGTGTTTAACCCCTTCCTCTCTCCAGAGCCCGGCGGGAGGGGGTCCTTGAGGGTGGGGGCACCCTCAGGGCACTATAGTGCCAGGAAAACGAGTATGTTTTCCTGGCACTATAGTGGTCCTTTAAACATTCCTAGTGGGCGGTGATTTTAGGAGTTAAATAAGGCCTGGTGTCATTAGCTTGTCTAATATAGCTTGGTGCTACTTCAAAGTGCTGTTTCTAAGTGTGTAGTTGGAGATATTCTGGAGAGAAACTGGAGGTAATCTGAGGTATTCAGGAGGATAAAGAATAAAGTTAAGATTTGTTAGATTTAAATTATTCTCATAATTGGAATGGCAGGCTTAGTTCAGTGTAACAATTGCTATGCATTTGTTTCACGTTCCACTTTTTGGAGGTTTGGTTGTTGTCTAATCTGTAGACAGTTCTCTATCTTGCGGCAGGAGATTGTATTTTTGAAGTCTGAGATTTGTAAATTATCTGGTGAAGAAACTCAGACTGAAACTGCTGCAAAGCCACTGCCGCAGAGACATGCTAGGAAAGGCAGATGGATTACTGTAGGATCTGGTAGACTTAGAGTTGTGGATAAAAGGCATTTTGCACAGTCTGTTGCTCTTCATAATTAATTTTCTGCACTTTCAGAGTGTAATGGTGTTGTGGAGAGAGGCACTGAGGCTAGTGGTGTTGTGGAGAGAGGCACTGAGGCTAGTGGTGTTGTGGAGAGAGGCACTGAGGCTAGTGGTGTTGTGGAGAGAGGCACTGAGGTTAGTGGTGTTGTGGAGAGAGGCACTGAGGCTAGTGGTATTGTGGAGAGAGGCACTGAGGCTAGTGGTGTTGTGGAGACCGGCTTGGAGACTATGGTGAGGCCTAATAGAAAGCAGTTGTTGTTGGGTGATTCCATTATAAGAGGTGTGGAGATGGACAATGGTGGTCTTGTGAGGTGTCTTCCCGGAGCTACTGCTCATAGAGACAGGAGACGTATCTGTAATATTGTTAAGCAAGCAAAGCAGGAAGGGGAATTGGATGTACTTGTCCATCTTGGGACAAATGACTTGGCTTGCAATGAGGTTTCAGAGGTTAAGGAAGTTTTTAGTGTTTCTGCCAATGATATACGGCAGGTTGCTTCCACACTGTCATTCTCTGAAGTTCTGCCTGTGCATAACACTCAGAACGACAGGCGGATGCGTATTAGGGACTTTAATTTGTGGCTTGGTGAATGGTGTCGGGAGCAAGGATTTGGCTTTATTTCTCATGGTAGCTCTGTTTGGAATGGAGATAAGCTGTACAAAAAAGATGGTTTGCATCTTTCTCAAAAGGGAACAAAATGTTCTCAGTGAGCAGTTCAGAGGTTTTGCTAGGATGTATTTAAACTAGGAGGGGGGGGCAAAAGGGTGATAAAACATCAATCCAATTGTCCCCCAAAACAAGGACAGAAGGTGCCTGTAGCAAGTGTGCTAAAAAATGATAAGCTTAGAGTCATGTCTACAAATGCTCGCAGTTTAGGGAATAAGATCCATGAACTTGTGGCAATAATGGCAACTGATAGTGTAGATTTAGTCGCTGTTACTGAGACATGGTACAATGAGAAAATGACTGGGACATAGCAATACCAGGGTACTCTTTATATAGGAAAGATAGGGAAGGCAAGAAAGGGGGAGGGGTGGCCTTGTATGTGAAGGATAGCATAAAATCTAGCCTAATAAAAGTTAGTGAGGCAAACATAGAGTCCGTTTGGGCTATGTTAGAATTTGGTAATCACACAGTAACTCGTGTAGGTGTGATTTATAGGCCCCCAGGACAAATTGAAGAGTTAGATAATCTACCAGTTGAGGAAATAGCTAAAATGACAATGAAGGGGGAAGTTATCATCATGGATGACTTTAATCTTCCTGATGTAAATTGGAAAACAAAATTAGCTACTTGTGCCAGGAGCACACATATTCTAAACTCCCTACTGGGATTGTCTCTAAAACAAGTTGTTGAGGAGCCAACTCGTGAAGAGGCCATACTAGATTTAGTGTTAACAAATGGAGATTTGGTATCAGATGTTACTGTAGGTGAAAGTTTAGGATCCAGTGATCATCAGTCAGTGTGGTTTAATATAAGAATAGTGACTGAGTCACACCACACAAAAACAAAAGTTTTAGACTTTAGAAAAACAGACTTTTCTAAAATTAGAATATGGGTAGAGGAGTCATTATCAGACTGGAGCAATTTAAATGGAGTCCAAGAGAAATGGGATTATTTAAAAGTTGCACTATTGAAGGCAACAGAAAAATTGCATTAGGCTTGTCAGTAAAAGCAAAAAATTCAAGAAACCACTGTGGTACTCCGCAGATGTGGCCAAAATAGTTAAAAACAAAAAGTTAGCATTTAGTAATTATAAAAAAACCCAGAGTGAGGAAGACAAAATGATCTATAAGATTAGGCAGAAAGAGGCCAAGCAAGTTATAAGAGCTTCCAAATCACACACAGAAGAGAAAATAGCACAGTCAGTAAAAAAAGGGGACAAAACATTTTTTAGATACATAAATGAGAAAAAGAAAGTAAAACAAGGATTAGTTAGATTAAAAACAAAAGAAGGAAGGTATGTAGAAGAGGATAAAGGTCTAGCTGACTGCCTCAATTAATATTTTTGTTCTGTATTTACAGATGAAAATGAAGGAAAGGGACCTCAGTTGAGAAAAAGGATAAATGAGTCATTTATTACATGTGAGTTTACAGAGGAAGAGGTTCTATTTCAACTGTCAAAAGTAAAGACAAATAAGTCAATGGGATCTGATGGAATACACCCAAAGCTATTAAAAGAGCTTAGTGGTGTACTAGCAAAACCATTAACAGATTTATTTAACTAATCATTGTTAACAGGAGTAGTCCCAGAAGATTGGAAGTTAGCGAATGTTGTGCCCATTTACAAGAAAGGTAATAGGGAGGAGTCGGCAAACTATAGGCCAGTAAGCCTTACTTCAGTAGTGGGGAAGGTGATGGAAACCATGTTAAAGGATAGGATTGATGAACATCTAAAAACACATGGAT